TGCAATTCCTTGAGTTTCATTCCTGGCCACGGCTGAACATCAGGGGTGCTTGATATCTCAACCGGTTCCGGGTAACACTGCAACACTTAACCCGGAGTATTTTCTTTGTCAGGTCAGTATCAGCATCCAAGTCCATCCCGTCACCGAAACCGCGTGTGCCGGCATTGTAGGTTAAAATTTCCCGAATAAAAAAAATAAAAATAAAAAATGGCTCAACATTTCTGGTGCTTAATTTTAAAATGAGGAATAGCAACGTCGCCGTCGTCACCTCCCAACAAGACGAATGCTCGCTTGCTGGCCCGGTGTCTCCGTCAACTCGTGCTGCACAGCGGCACCTGTCGTGAGTGGCGGGAGGGGGCCTTTGACATCACGGTATTGAGTTGCGACGCAAGGCGCTTTGAGATGCCGGGGAGGGAGGGGGGTATTTAAGTGCCCAATGAATGGACCTCGGATGAGCACGGTTGGCTATGTACGGTGCGAGAGAAGTTCAGCACGCGCAAGTACACACGTCCTAATCCTTAAACATAGGCCACCATGTGATCGCTTGTCATGCTCACCTGGGTGCGTTGCGATCCCCTCCACGGATGAAACCGCTGTCATCTGTGAAAAAGAGCTTCATAGCTCATCGGATTCCTCCAGTATAAATAAAGCTTTGGATTTGCGGACAACTTGAGGAACCCTACCGGCGACTCTCTTGGCGTCGCCGAATCGGCTGTTGGGATTCTCAGCTGAGCACGCCCCCCCTCGCCCCCCCCTCCCTCTCGCCCCCCCTTTGCCCCCCCCCCCCCCCCACAGCTTGCTCTGGCTTAATTACACAACGGCGTGTGATGGCTATTCCGCTAATCTCAAACCTCTCAGGATTAGTCTCCGGTTTCAATTACGCAGGGCCCGCCATCCATCTCAGGCTTTACGGATCGCACAAAGACAAAGAAATATATCCCCCAGTATAGCCTTAACAGACTGTTGGGGCAAGTGCTTTGAGCGAGCACCTATGATGGCCGGAACAGCACACGGGGGGAGGGGGGGGGTGAGTGGCCAAAACCACACCCGGCCGCATTTGTCTCCACAGTGGCGATGTTTACACACTGCACAAGGTACTCATTTGAGGCTGAGTCAACCTAGGGGAGGCCCAGGACCGGTTCAGATAATCGTCACCGGTGTTGGCCGTGAGCGGGAATCGAACTCGCTCGCGGCTATCAAAAACCAGTGACGATTATCTGATACGGGTCATGAGACTCCCCTCTGGTCAACTTGGCATCAAACGAAGTACCTGGTAGCAGTGCGGAAATATCACCGCTGGGGAGACAAAGGCGGCCGGGCGTGGTTTTGACCACTCACTCCTCGTGTGCCATTGCTGCCCTTCATAGGTGCCACTCGCTTAACGGCACTTAGCCTGTTGACGCTCTACGGGGGATCTTTGTCTTCTTCGTAGAGGCTGCGTGCTGGCATCTTCACGGGGGGGGGGGGGGGGGGGGGGGGGCTCACAGCTGGTCCGTGAGCCCGGGGCGCTAATTGGAACGTCGTAAAAGAGCGCGTGAATTATGAATGTGGTGGTGCAGCAGCAGGAGCAGCAGCAGGAGCAGCAGCAGGAGCAGCAGGAGTGTGTCTGTGTGTGTGGCCGTGCAAGAGGTACAGTGAGGGAAAAAAGTATTTGATCCCCTGCTGATTTTGTGCGTTTGCCCACTGACAAAGAAATGATCAGTCTATAATTTTAATGGTAGGTTTATTTGAACAGTGAGAGACAGAATAACAACAAAAAAATCCAGAAAAACGCATGTAAAAAATGTTATAAATTGATTTGCATTTTAATGAGGGAAATAAGTATTTGACCCCCTCTCAATCAAAAAGATTTTTGGCTCCCAGGTGACTTTTATACAGGTAACGAGCTGAGAATAGGAGCACACTCTTAAAGGGAGTGCTCCTAATCTCAGCTTGTTACCTGTATAAAAGACACCTGTCCACAGAAGCAATCAATCAATCAGATTCCAAACTCTCCACCATGGCCAAGACCAATGAGCTCTCCAAGGATGTCAGGGACAAGATTGTAGACCTACACAAGGCTGGAATGGGCTACAATACCATTGCCAAGTAGCTTGGTGAGAAGGTGACAACAGTTGGTGCGATGATTCTCAAATAGAAGAAACTCAAAAGAACTGTCAATCTCCCTCGGACTGGGGCTGCATGCAAGATCTCACCTCGTGGAGTTGCAATGATCATGAGAACGGTGAGGAATCAGCCCATAACTACACGGGAGGATCTTGTCAATGATCTCAAGGCAGCTGGGACCATAGTCACCAAGAAAACAATTGGTAACACTACGCCATGAAGGACTGAAATCCTGCAGCGCCCGCAAGGTCCCCCTGCTCAAGAAAGCACATATACATGCCCGCCTGAAGTTTGCCAATGAACATCTGAATTATTCAGAGGACAACTGGGTGAACGTGTTGTGGTCAGATGAGACCAAAATTGAGCTCTTTGGCATCAACTCAACTCGCCGTGTTTGGAGGAGGTGGAATGCTGCCTATGACCCCAAGAACACCATCCCCACCGTCAAACATGGAGGTGGATACATTATGCTTTGGGGATGTTTTTCTGCTAAGGGGACAGGACAACTTCACCCCATCAAAGGGACGATGAACTGGGCTATATACCGTCAAATCTTGGGTGAGAACCTTCTTCCCTCAGCCAGAGCATTGAATATGGGTCATGGATGGGTATTCCAGCATGACAATGACCCAAAACACACGGCCAAGGCAACAAAGGAGTGGCTCAAGAAGAAGCACATTAAGGTCCTGGAGTGGCCTAGCCAGTCTCCAGACCTTAATCCCATAGAAAATCTGTGGAGGGAGCTGAAGGTTTGAGTTGCCAAACGTCAGCCTCAAAACCTTAATGACTTGGAGAAGATCTGCAAAGAGAAGTGGGACAAAATCCCTCCTGAGATGTGTGCAAACCTGGTGGCCAACTACAAGAAACGTCTGACCTATGTGATTTCCAACAAGGGTTTTGCCTCCAAGTACTAAGTCATATTTTGCAGAGGGGGTCAAATACTTATTTCCCTCGTTAAAATGCAAATCAATTTATAACATTTTTGACATGCATTTTTCTGGATTTTGTTGTTGTTATTCTCTCACTGTTCAAATAAACCAACCATTAAAATTATAGACTGATCATTTCTTTGTCAGTGGGCAAACGTACAAAATCAGCAGGGGATCAAATACTTCAATTCTAGATTTGAAGCTTTCGTGACTGGTTCCATTCGGTAAAGTCACGTAGGTAAAAAATAAAATAACAAAAATCACGACATTTCGGCCACAACACAAGTGGCCTTCAATTACTTGTTTCCCTCACTGTACAAGGGCAATTGCTTTCTCGCTCGCACTGCCGCTCTTGGCGGCTGAGCGGTGAGAGGGACCTCTCGATAATCCCTCTCGAGCGGGGTTCTTCGTTGCAAGGTCCCCGCGGGCCACTGACGACCCCTGGTGGCCTTTACAGCGGCCCCCGACAATCCACACAGAGTAAAGTCGCCCATCGTCGTCGTGCTGCTGTCAAACCCGGCAATGGTTTCATTAGCGTGGCGGCCCCCACACTGACGATGTCTCATCGGAGAAAGTGACCCCCCCCCCTCTGAAAATTAGTGAAGAACGCTGCTCTCTAGCACGATGGTGTGCACTGCCCTACCGGTGATCCGATTGGATGCTTGTGACACCGTGAGCACATTCAGGGTGAAACGGTGGGAAGAAAACACAGAACGTAACAAAACGCCTGCAATGTCCGCCCGTATTCGGCTTGTGCGGTCAGCCGTGGCGTCTCAGACCACCTCCCTGCGCTGCTGCGGTGGCGTACCGTGGTTGGCACGGGCTCCGGTGTGTCCGTGGCCAGTGATGGACGGCGGCTCCTACCGTGGTGGCCGGAGCGGCGGGCACAGCGGCTGGCGCTGCACTGCGCTCCAAACAGCATGCGCTGTGACTTTGATTCCCGGACACGGCCAACGTCGGTGGCGAGTGACGTCCCAACCAGACCTGGGCCCTCTCCTGGGTCGACTCGGCCTTAAATGAGTACCTGGTGATGTTGTGTAAACCTCGCCCAGCAATGGGGGTGTACGGTGGCCAGCCGTAGTGCAGAGGATGAGGATTCCCATGTGTTGGGCATTTGAATGGCCTCGGCACCTGACATCTCGACTCATGATAATAGGGTTTTCCCCTTTCTGGCAATAAAACGGTTGTGTTAAGATGTTAAAACACCAAACTGAAACATTTGCAAGGAATCATGTCTGCATTAACCACATCTACTTGTGGTGAAGATGCAAAAAAAAGCATGCTCTGACAGTATGTGCATTGTCTTTGAAACGAATTTGTCCACACGAGGGACAGCTTTCTTTCGGGCCTAGTCTCACCACCAGTGTTAGACCACAGGATGCAAAAGGCGAACAGCACAAAGACAATGCCACTTTCAGGACATTGAGAGCTCGGCGTGAGCAGCTACATCGTGGGACCTCCCTTGCCAGTATTCAATTATGATCATAGGGTTTTCCCCTTTCTGGCAATAAATGAGGTGTCAGTTTCAAAGACACTGCACAATACTGTCAGAGCATGTCGTTTTGTTTGCATCTTCACCGCAAGTATATGTGGGTTAACGCAGACATGGTTCCTTGCAAAGGTTTCAGTTTGGTGTTTTGACATCTTAACACAACCGTTTTTTTGCCACAAAAAGGGGAAAACCCCTTTATCATAATTTAATACTGGCAAAGGAGGTCTCACGATGTAGCATCTCGACTCATCTTTACCATTCGAATTCCAAGACTGCAGTCTCGCACGGTGTACGCAGCACGGGCTGATGCTGGCCACGCTACTCCCTCGTGCGCTGTGGGCCCCACCCCCCTTCCCCCCCCCCCGTCTTTATTTATTAGATGGTCTCAAACAGCACTTGCCCCCCCCCCCCCCCCCCCCGGACAGTCTGCATAGACCACGTGGGGCGTCCTCTTTGTCTCTGTGGTTGCACAGACAAGCTGTTTGGCAAGAAGCTGGCGCACACGCTGGTGCAGACGCGCTCCTGGATGAAGACCGTGCCCACAGACGACTGCGACGTCCTCATGGTCCTGCCAGGTACAGACTTCGTCGTCGTCGTCATCGTGAGCCATGTTCTGTCCACTGCTGGCTGAAGGGGTTCCCCGCGCCGTGTGGCTGCGCTGTGGCGTGGTGACCCTCTGCGTGGTGTGCCGTTTGGTTGTGGTGTGGTGACCCTGTGTGTGTGGTGTGCCGTTTGGTTGTGGTGTGGTGACCCTGTGTGTGTGGTGTGCCGTTTGGTTGTGGTGTGGTGACCCTGTGTGTGTGGTGTGCCGTTTGGTTGTGGTGTGGTGACCCTGTGTGTGTGGTGTGCCGTTTGGTTGTGGTGTGGTGACCCTGTGTGTGTGGTGTGCCGTTTGGTTGTGGTGTGGTGACCCTGTGTGTGTGGTGTGCCGTGAGGTTGTGCTGTGTCATGGCGACCCCGTGTGTGGTGTGCCGTGGTGTGGTTGTGGCTTCACTGTGTTGTGGTGACCCCGTGTGTGGTGTGCTGCGTGGCGACCCCGTGTGTGGTGTGCTGCGTGGTGACCCCGTGTGTGGTGTGCTGCGTGGTTTCCCTGTGTCGTGGCGACCCCGTGTGTGGTGTGCTGCGTGGTTTCCCTGTGTCGTGGTGACCCCGTGTGTGGTGTGCTGCGTGGCGACCCCGTGTGTGGTGTGCTGCGTGGCGACCCCGTGTGTGGTGTGCTGCGTGGTTCCCTGTGTCGTGGTGACCCCGTGTGTGGTGTGCTGCGTGGTTTCCCTGTTTCGTGGCGACCCCGTGTGTGGTGTGCTGCGTGGTTTCCCTGTGTCGTGGCGACCCCGTGTGTGGTGTGCTGCGTGGCGACCCCGTGTGTGGTGTGCTGCGTGGTTTCCCTGTGTCGTGGCGCGTGCGTGTGACGCCGCCCGTCTCACTGGAATCCGCGTGTGGCCGCCGTGGCCCCCGCGTGCTCCCGGCAGAGAAGACGAGCGACGCCACGCTGCTGTGGCTGCTGAACAAGCTGCGCGTGGGGCTCCCCGAGCTCGTCGTGCAGGTGCGCCACCACCCGTGCACGCGCGCCTACGGCCTCTACCTCACCGCCTCCTACAGCCAGTGAGTGGACCCGCACGCAGGGGGGACGACGGTGCCGCCCCGCCGGCCCCCCCCCCCCACACCCCCCCCCCCACCTTGCGCCGTGCGTAGCCGTGGAAACGGACCGTTGGGGCGAGCGCTGTTTTGCGAGCGCCTTCGAAGGGCCGCATCGCCGTGCCGGCCCGCCGGCCCGCCAGCCCGCCCGCCTTTGTCTCCCCGCTGCCGATGTTTGCCACGCATTGCGCCAGGCGCTCGTTCGAGGCCTCGACGACCCGTCGCCGTCGTTCGCCGCTGTTTGTCGGTCGCGAGCGGGGAATCGACCCCCGGGTTGCCGGGGCTCGTGGGCGCGGCGCGCCGACGACCCCCGGGTTGCCGGGGGTCGTGGGCGCGGCGCGCCGACGAGCCGCGCTGCCGCTTCCCGCGGTCCGCGCGGATCTCGCGAGCCGCCGCGGAGAGGCGTCCGCGCTCGAGCGGCATTTCCAGCGCGTCCCGGTTTGGCTCGCGAGCGAGGTCGGGGACGAGAGTCGGCCGGTTTCGCGATGGGCGGTGACGCGGCCCGCCGCTTGGTTGCGGCGGTCTGAAGGCTGGAGGTCGCCCGCCCCCCCCCCCCCCCCCCCCCGGGGAATCCCGCGGCCGCGTGCGTGCGTGTTCACCGTTAAGAAGCGCCATGCGCCGCCCGCTTCGAGGTGGACGTTCAGAAAAAGATCCCCCGTGTGACGTCGTTCCAAGCTTGCCGAGTTTACTCATTGGTTTTTCCGGTAAAGTCGCGTGTGTAGAAATACCACAATTATATTAAAACAAATCAATCACGACGTTTCGACCGCAACACAAGCGATCTTCATCAGGTGTCAAAAATAAATAGCGAGGGAGCACACAGGGTGACATCAACGCAACACATAGAGAGTGTTAAACTGCACGGAGGTAAATACAACAAGAATGTGAGAGACGAGAATTCAGCAAACCTAAGAAAAAATTAAGTGATGCAAAACCAGTCGGCCAACGACACAGTTAGACACTTGCCTGGCGGACCACGAATTTCATACCAGCATAGACAGAGTGAACAAATACGAGGTACAAGATAGCAGAAATACATATACAGGGACACCAAGAGGCAAGGAGAGGAAAGACGGACCTGATGAAGATCGCTTGTGTTGCGGTCGAAACGTCGTGAGTGATTTGTTTTAATATAATTTTGTGGTATTTCTACATACGTGACTTTACCGAAAAAAACAATGAGTAATTTATACAGTCACGAAAGCTTTAATTCTTTATTAACACACTTGCCGAGTTTGACAAGTGACCGCAAATGACAAATTGATGCCGGAAGACCGTACCCGCCTGCGAAACATGGCACCTTCATCGTAGCCCTGCGCTATAGGATGACGCAAATACCTAACGTGCTACAATATTATTATTGCGTTTTTGTTATCTGGTTCGACGTCACTTGATGGTATGTGTATCTGTGTGTGTGTATGTATGTTTACATAAGTGTCATGTGGTGTCGCTTTGCCAGGCACGCTGGGGAAATGCTTGCGGAGCCCCATTGTGGGTTCAGGCCGGGGCGGTCCTGCACGGAAGTCATATTCTCTCTCCGTTCGCTACAGCGGATGCATAGGGAAACCTCCATCTCTGCTTTATCGACCTGGTCAAGGCCTACGATACCATCAATAGGCCAGGCCTCTGGGTTATTCTTCATGCTTTTCGGGGTCCCCTGACTCTCTGCGAGCCTCCGACCTTGCCTGGCACAAGCGCCGTGGTGACATCACTGCCACTTAGTAACGTTGACGTGCTTTATGCGTGTGTTGCTGTGCGTGCCCCCTGCGTGCAGCCTGCTGTGCGGAGTGGAGCTGCTGTCGATCCGCAAGCCTGTGAGGGCCGAGTTTGGGGGCGGCATGCAGCCCTTCATGCGCGACGAGGACATCTTCGAGAATGTTGACAACGAAGCCCTCTTCCTGTCGTCCCAGGTCGGCACGCTCACCGCATGCTCAACGCACGCTCACCGCACGCTCACCCCATGCTCACCCACGCTCACCCACGCTCACCCCACGCTCCACGCTCACCGCACGGTCACCCCACGCTCACCCCACACTCACCCCACGCTCACCCACGCTCACCGCACACTCACCGCACGCTTACCTGTTGTATATGCCGGGTCTCGAAAATTTAATAAAAAGAATAAAAATTAAATGAAATTTTAAAAAATACGTAATTATCCGAAAATACGTTAATGTATGTAATTATGTGCATAATTTATGCTAATTAAGAAGGTGTAATCGTATTAAGTTATGCAATTGCATGCGATTATGCTAATGCAGGCCGTAATGATAATTGGGCCCTGCCTCGTTGTCGAGGGTAGTATTATCAATCGGGATCATACAATTAATTGTATGAAGTTATGCAGGTGTGCTGTAAGTATGCTAGATTAGCTCGGCTTCGTTGTCTAGGGTTGTATTATCAATCGCTATAATACAATTATTCTCGCTTGACATTTACTGATTATGTATTAGTGTGTTATGTCAGGTCTCCAAATTCAAATCTCACCGCAGGATACAGTTCTTATAATTAAGATTATTACACATGAACTTAGGAAGACACCACGCAGACACTTCTGTGTTAAGCCATTTTAATCTCTAAACAAAAACATAACACTCTAATATGCGAACTCTTATGCTTGGAATTGTGAACACAGTACTCCTGTGGATGTTCTCCTCATTGATCCGTACGTTTAACCCTCAATGATCACGTTGTTAACTGGGTAACAGAACAATTGATTACTTCCTCAGAATAACACGAACATATGCGGTGATAGGAAAAGTCCTTAAAAATGCATGCAACGATATTCATACGAAGGGCAATAAAGAAACATGTCCCGAAGGCAAAAGTATACGGCAATTAATTCATGGGCAAGATTATGTAATGAACTAAATGTTTGGAACAATGGTGTGCGGCAGTATGCCTGCTTCAGCAAATACTCATCAATTGGCTAAGGCTTCAATAAATTCGCGGGCAGATTCAGTGATCAAAAGAACGATTTCAACACAATATTCTCCCTGTGAGTGTGTAGATTCGTAACGTGGGTTTCTAAACTTTTAGTTTTCATCGATGAATTCATTGATAATATTTATGCAAATCAAAAGAAACATAACTACTAAAATACTTCTAAACGACCGTTTCCCCGTAACCCAATGGCAGCAATGTTCTTCGTTATCAGTTGATATTTGACGCACGTTATCATGAGTCTTCTTATTAATAGTCCGGGTATGTGTTTATGTGTGGGTGTTGTTTGTCTTCTTGATCAATTCTTTGCGTTAAGCAGACGCCGAGGTTGGGCATTCCTTGTATCAAAAAATGTGTTTAAATTTCGATTTAAAGCTTTCGTGACTGCAAGAATTCATCTTCTTTGGTTCTTTCGGTGAAGTCACGTAGAATGAGAATAAAATAATAAATTGATAAAATAAAATAACACAATAATATTCTCACGACGTTTCGGCCACAACACAAGCGGCGTTCATCAGGTGAAGGGACGCCCTCCAGCGCTGTCCTACCAGACAGTCTCGTCCCTTCACCTGATGAAGGCCGCTTGTGTTGTGGCCGAAACGTCGTGAGAATATTATTGTGTTATTTTATTTTATCAATTTATTATTTTATTCTCATTCTACATGACTTTACCGAAAGAACCAAAAAAAATGTGTTTGTTCCCTGCGGAGCGGTGAGGGTTGTGAGAGTGTGAGTGTGTATCATACGGACAGCGTGGCACTCCCTCTTTCACACGGGCGGCCACAGTTTCTGTCCACAGCTGGCTGGAAGGGTCGGCACGACGCTCGCCGTCGGTGCGCGACGATCCCGTCGTCAGATAGCGCCCGCAGCTCGTCCGCTGCCAGCTGACACCCTTGCTCGGCGACGCTGGCGACGCTGCGGAGTGCTCTCTCTTGCTCCGTCTCTCTCTGGCGGGGCCGATTGCGCGCGCAGCTGGTCCTCTGCGATGCTGGCTTGGTCGACGCTTGGCGCTTTCCGCCCGTTCTCGAGGTTGATTGCTTGACGCTGCTCGCCAGTTCAACTCGAGCTACAGCGGCACGTGGGAGCTGGTACTCACTATAAGAGTAGAATAACTTTCAGCGACGCTCTGTCGATCCATGCCGAACTCAGCACAGAGCATCACCTCGCCCCTCTTCTCTGCGATGCACCACACGCATTGGTGATTTCGAGGCCATGCCCCGGAGCTTGCCGCTTGCTGTACTCTTCTGTCGCTTGCTGTAGGTGATCGCCGTGTTGATGGTCGCAGTTGGTCGTCGATGGTCGTAGTGGCTCTGTAGAATAAACTTTTTGAACTTGCACTTGGTGACACATTGCTACTCGGCAAGCCCCGCCATCCTTGGTCAATCGCAGGGCCCTCCCCGGAGCTTGCCGCTCGCCACCCTCTTCTGTCGCTCGCAGAGCAGTCCCTTGCTGAGCTGATCTGTGTGTGTCGTGTCGCTGGTTATATCTGAAAAATCTCTCCTCTCGGTTCGCCTTCTCACAGAGGACCGGAACTTGATTTCGCTTTGTGTTGTAGGGGGGGGGGGGGAGTTTGTCCGGCCTGTGTGTGTGTGTTCTTATTTATTGAAGTAATATAAGTTTCATCAAGGCATGGTTCCTGTCGCCTTCCTCAAGCCATCCCGCCATCAAAAGGAACCAGATGCTCCAGATTGCCTCCGAGTGCGTCCTTCTTCCCCAACCCTCTGCAATAATTAATCTGGAGGGGGGGGGGGGGGTTCCCCCTGTCCGGTTGAGTTCTCCTCCCCCCTCTTCTCTTCCCTCCCGGTGTGACATTCTTTGGCCTCTCACAAAGGGGTGTGTTAAGGCTTTTGAAGTTAAACATTTTATTTTACCTCATAGCTTGATACCGTACCACTTTGTAGTTATGATTCTGTACGTGACTCAAGGTATGTTTGTGACAGTGTTTTACAGTACTTCCATCGTGGTGTTTGATTTTTATTTTCAAGAGGAGATGCCCTCTGCATGCGTAAGCAAATTCTATCACGTGCTGCTGGAAGACAAAGGCGGTTGGGAGACTCTCTTTCTCCATGGAGTACATTTATCTTGGTCACGTGATCGACCCACCTACCTCGCCTCATCTCCCCGGGATGGCCCCCGGTTTAACACTTCATAATTATTATTTGGTTTATGTTTTCCAATATTCGTGAATAACTTTAGTATTAAACTCATATATGGGTGTTAATAACCCCCTAATGTAAATTGTAGCCTGGTTTTTAATCGGAGTGAGTGTGTTGGTAGTCTATAATGTCCACTTATTCGTGTCGCGAAGCTTATTTGGGACTTTCTGTTAATTAAAATAACCTAAAAACTTGTCTGTCCGTTTTTCGCCGCCCTGGAAGCTGCCGAGGCGTTAAAACCGTGTCGGGATTTTTCCAGAATCTCATTAACAATTCTCCCCCCCCTTCTCTTTTGTTTTGGGTTTTTCTTATCTTTTATGGCTTATCTCCGGCTGCCTGTTTCCGAGTGAGAAGGGCAGCTGCTGTGAGGGCAGGGGGGTTCACCTCACCCCCTTTTGCCCCCACGCGACACCACGATTGATAAAAAATATATATTGGCAGAATTATTATTAAAAAGGCCTATACATACAACACACCGCACGCTCACTCCACGCGCACCCCACGCTCACCCCACGCACACCCACACAAACTCACACTCACCTAGGGCCCACCCAGCTCCACCTAACACCACCAATCTCCACGGGACTTCACCATGCTCCATCCTACCTCACCACACACTCCAGCGCACTTCAACCATGGCCCTGCCACCAGGGTTGTGCGACGACGATGATGTGGCCGTGTTGTTATGGCGATTAGTGTTTGTGGCGTTGGTGTTGTGGTTGTTGTTGTGGTAATGTTGGCAAAGTAAGGGGGGGCACAGGTGGTGCTTCTGCCAGTCATCTCAGTCAGTCAACCCGTGGCACCTGCCGGGCCTGTCCCGTGACCTCCTGCCAGCGATCCCACGACACTTCACGTGGTCTCAAAGTGCACCTGGCCTGGCACGGGCGCCGCGGTGACGTCACCGTTGCGTCGTGGCGGTTGTTGCTGTTGTGGTGGTGGTGGTGATGATGCGTGTGGTCGTGTCTCGCAGGAGAGGCAGAGCATCATCTTCACCTGGCTTCAGAACCTGCGGGCAGGGCCTGGGGAGAGGCTGCATGACGTCTTCTTCCTGGAAGGACAGCCCATCGGTGGGCGCACACATTCCCATCGTCGGAAAACAGAGGGGACAAAATACCCGCAAATTACTTTAGAAGTACCGCCTAGAAAATTACTGTTCACGAACTCGCTAGCGTATCTGTATTTTACCAGCTAAGGCCCACTGAGCTATGTTGGTCTTTTTCAGAAGCGACCTGGCCACAAATTATCGCTCAACTAAGTGGCTCGTCACGTAGAAATTGAAGGGTTTTTTGCCATAAAGAAGGATCATTGCCTGTAACGTGACCTATTATATTCTTAGCTCTTTCGGTAAAGTCACGTTGAAGGAAAACAATAAAATAATATATATAAAACAATAAAAATTATCACGACGTTTCGACTATAACACAAACGGTCATCATCAGGTGTGAAAAAACCAACGGCAAGAAACAGTTTAACACGTAGGCTTTCGCGACCAATATTATTCATAATAAAGGTTTTTGGGTTAGATCGCGTTTATTTATAAATGTGTCGTAACCCTCCACCACCCGACACGGCCAATCAGCAAAAAAAGTGTCACGTTGACAAAAGACAAATAATTCACTACTTTAGCCCACCGGTGTGTTGAAGAGTGAATCCACATTTACAGTTTGAAAGAAGTGGCGGTTCACATTTATGTATTTATTTTTAAACGGTGTCTTTATTTCTTTCTAAAAAACGTCAGCGCCAGGTCTGCTTTGTGTTCACGAATGCGGTCCGAGACATGGCGTTTGGTTTCTCCAATGTAAGCAGACCTTAAACACGGTAGGACCAACACCTCGGCCGTGGCAGATCATTGTTATAATTCAGTAGGCTCACATGACATTGACTTCTCCAAGACAGAGGTTCTTTGTAAGCCATCTGGCTACCATGAGAGATTCGTTCATGAGGCTATCCACATATACAAGCACAGAGACAATTTCAACCGAGAAGATGGATTCTGGCTTAGCAATCATTGGAAAAATTTGATAAACTGTTTCAGGTCTTAATTGATTGTTCACGCTTACAGTGGCTTTCAGACAGCATACATTCATTTTTCGTCTCTCCCCTCCTCTTTTCAGAACATAGATGGACTCGTCCTTCTAAATAAACTGCCAAATCGCTGCGCGTGGCGCTGACGTTTTTTAAATAAATAAATAAAGGCACCGTTCAAAATAAATAAATAAATACGGACCGTCACACCTGATGACGACCGTTTGTGTTATGGTCGAAACGTCGTGAGAATTTTTATTGTTATATATTTTATTATTTTATTGTTTTCCTAAAACGTGACTTTACCGAAAGAGCTAAGAATATGAATTACTGCAGTCACGAAAGCTTTAAATCAAAATATGACCTATTATATATTTTTTTCCTTTCAAAGCCGCCATAGTGTTATCGATTAATGTGTTGAGTTTGTTTCTGTGTATATTCATGTATTATGACACAGAGTGCATCCTCACAGCACGTGTGTGTGGTTTCCCCCGTGAGCGGTGGCGCAGCGGTTAGCGCACTGCGCTGCGAATCCGGCGACTCAACTTTGATTCCTGCTGACAGCCGCCAACCCCAGTGACGATAATCCAAACCGGTCCTGGCCCTCGCCTAGGTTGACTCGGCCTCAAATGAGGAGCTGATGCGCTGTGTAAACATCGCCACTAGGGAGAAAAAATACGGCCGGGCGTGGTGCTGGCCACCCAATCCCTTCGTGTATCGTGACCGACCTTCATAGGTGCTCGCTTAACAGCACTTGCCCTAAAAGTCGGTAAAGGCTATACGGGGGATCTTTGTCTATGCTTCCCCCGTGCAGTGCTGGAGCTGCTGAACAGGAAGGTGATCGACCAGGTGTTCCCGCTCCACGATCGCAGCACGCTCAAGAAGTTCATGAAGAGCTGGGTCCGGCCGTCCTTCCACCAGCAGCCTCTGGGTGGGTGGGTGTTGGTGGGTTGGTGTTGGTGGGTGGTTGTGGGGGTGTGGGTAGGTGTGTGTCTGGGGGAAGCGGTGGCGCATGGTAAGGGCACTGCGCTACGAAACCGGCGACCCGAGTTCGATTCCCGCTCGTGACCAATAGGTGGTGAATATTTGAACCGGTCCTGGGCCTCGCCTAGGTCGACTCAGCCTTAAACGAGTACCTGGTGCGGTGTGTAAACATCGCCACTATAGAAAGACAAAGGCGGTCGGGCGTGGTGTTGGCCACCCACCCCCTCGTGTGCCGTACCTGCCTTGGTCGCTAACAACACTTGCTCCAACAGCCTGTTAAGGCTATACGGGGTATCTTTGGTTAATACTGCGGGCGTTTTGTGAATGTCAAACGTCCGATGACATTATTCGCCGTGACAGATAGCACAGTTGGAATAAATTGTGAGCAAAGACAAAAACACATTGAACGTATTCAATCTAAGATAAAAGCTTTGTGTACAATAGTAAGATGATGATGAGTTCCTGAGAGTTGACGATATATTGTGTATGATTGAGAGACATATGGGTGCTTGTGTGCCAGCGTGCAATTGATTAATTGGGTGCCACGGTAGCGAGATGTTAACTCCCACGCCTGGTACACAGGAGGTGGGCCTGGGTTCGATCCCAGCCCTGACACCTGCTGCTGTCTATTTGGAGTTTGCGTGTCTCTCTCATCATCACAGTGGCTAGGAGATGTTAACCGCCTCGCCTGGTATACAGGAGGTCCTGGGTTCGATGCCGACCCTGCCTGCCGCCTGCTGCTGTATATTTGGAGTTTGCGTGTTTCTTTCCCCGTGCTTGCGTGTATTTTTCTCCGGGTCCTCCGGTTTTCCCCTCCACATTTAGAACGAACATCACGCGTTGAGAGTATTTGGCTGCTCAACATTTGCACGTGATGATGATAAGCCACTTCGTTGGGCTATCTCAATTGTGGCCAGGTCGCTTCTGACAAAGAGCAACGCAGCTCAGTGGACCTCACCCGGTCAAGCAAAACAATTGTGCACTTTAATAGTAAGAAAAATTCCGTGAATTATTGGGATGATATCGTGGATTAACAAAAAAGTAACTTGGCCATGGGACGTGCACGCACTCATCCAGCTCGGCGAAACATCCCTGGGTGAGCTTTTCAAATTTGGAAGCGTTCATCAGCAGCAGGAGTGGCGTCGCCAACGTGCATTTGCTTCCGCCCCTCCCGTGGTGTCCCGCAGATGAGGTGTGCGAGTACTTTGGCGTGAAGGTGGCCATGTACTTTGCCTGGCTGGGGTACTACACGTCGGCGCTCGTCTATCCGGCCGTCTTGGGCCTCCTGCTCTGGGTCTACTGCTACACCACGCAGGTGCTGGGGAATGAGTTGAAGCACTGGTTGCACTGCCCTTGCTCCAGCGATTGTCGAGAGACGCCAACAGAAGCCGGTCAGTCAGTCCATTGTCTAGAGGCTCAATCAGAGGTCGGTCAGTCAGTGTATTGTCTAGAGCAGGGGTCCCCAGTCCCGTTCCGGTCCGCGGACTGGTAGGAACCGGGCCGCACAGCAGGAGGTGAGAGCGGTGAGTCCACGCGTCGCCCGCCCCCATTATTTTATTCACCACTTCCGTCCGCGCCTCTTTCCCGCACTGCGCACTTCACAGTGTTGGTAAGCCCACAAGCTAACCCCTAGTAGCCACAATGAGTAATAATACAAACGTCTAGAGGATCAATCAGAGGTTGGTCAGTCAGTCCATTGTCTAGAGACCCCATCAGAGACCGGTCTGTCAGCCTATTGCCTAGAGACTCCATTAGAGACCGGTCTGTCAGTCTATTGTCTAGAGACCCCATCAGAGACAGGTCTGTCAGTCTATTGTCTCGAGACCCCATCAGAGACAGGTCTGTCAGTCTATTGTCTAGAGACTCCATTAGCGACCGGTCTGTCAGTCTATTGTCTAGAGACCCCGTCAGAGACCGGTCTGTCAGTCTATTGATTAGAGGCCCCATCAGAGACAGGCCTGTCAGTCTATTGTCTAGAGACGTCATCAGAGACCGGTCTGTCAGTCTATTGTCTAGAGACCCCATCAGAGACCGGTCTGTCAGTCTATTGTCTAGAGCCCCCTCAGAGACCGGTCTGTCACTCTATTGTCTAGAGACGTCATCAGAGACCGGTCTGTCAGTCTATTGTCTAGAGACGTCATCAGAGACCGGTCTGTCAGTCTATTGTCTAGAGACGTCATCAGAGACCGGTCTGTCAGTCTATTGTCTAGAGACCCCATCAGAGACCGGTCTGACAGTCTATTGTCTAGAGACCCCATCAGAGACCGGTCTGTCAGTCTATTGTCTAGAGACGTCATCAGAGACCGGTCTGTCAGTCTATTGTCTAGAGATGTCATCAGAGACCAGTCTGTCAGTCTATTGTCTAGAGACGTCATCAGAGACCGGTCTGTCAGTCTATTGTCTAGAGACGTCATCAGAGAACGGTCTGTCAGTCTATTGTCTAGAGACCCCATCAGAGAACGGTCTGTCAGTCTATTGTCTAGAGACGTCATCAGAGACCGGTCTGTCAGTCTATTGTCTAGAGACCCCATCAGAGACCGGTCTGTCAGTCTATTGTCTAGAGTCCACATTGGAGACCGGTCTGACAGTCTATTGTCTAGAGACTTCATCAGAGACCCTTCTGACAGTCTATTGTCTAGAGACCTCATCAGAGACCGGTCTGGCAGTTTTTTCTCTAGAGACCCCATCAGAGACTGGTCTGACAGTCAATTGTCTAGAGACTCCATCGGAGACCGGTCTGACAGTCTATTGTCTAGAGACCCTGTCAGAGACCGGTCTGTCAGTCTATTGTCTAGAGACCCCATCAGAGACCGGTCTGACAGTCTATTGTCTAGAGACTCCATCAGAGACCGGTCTGACAGTCTATTGTCTAGAGACCCCATCAGAGACCGGTCTGTCAGTCTATTGTCTAGAGACCCCATCAGAGACCGGTCTGTCAGTCTATTGTCTAGAGACGTCATCAGAGACCGGTCTGTCAGTCTATTGTCTAGAGACCCCATCAGAGAACAGTCTGTCAGTCTATTGTCTAGAGACCCCATCAGAGACCGGTCTGTCAGTCTATTGTCTAGAGACACCATCAGAGACAGAAAAGAGAGCCAAGCTTCTGCAATCCCTCTTTAGCCATTATAGTAATACATTCCTGGACAGGTCAGATGAGATTGTTGTGCCAAGGCCGCTGAATGGCGTTACAAGGGCTAAGAACAACACTGATGAATGTCACGGGGCATTACCCCCGCGAGCCACCTGGCCCGGCGATTCATCGGCCTTCGTCCACGGATCACACGGAGCAGCGTGGCTCAACGTGGCCAGCTGGCTGGGACCTATACCAGTGGGGGCCGTGCCAATGTTGGGGGCTGTTTAGTCATCGCGCGTCACAAAGATGTCCTGAACATATTTGTCATGCGCAAGAACAGAATTATTCTTGTTATCAGGGGGTGTGGATGAGGGCAATTTTTTAGCGGCAAATGGAAACATGAGGGGGCAAGTGACTCGATTGGGAAGACGCTTAGCAACGTTTATTCATCACACGTCACAAGGACAAAGTGGTGTGGAAAGTGCTGTTAGCGAGCACCTATGAAGGCCGGAACGGTACACGAGGGGGTGGGTGTCCAGCACCACGCCCGACCGCCTTTGTCTCCCCAGTGGCGATGTTTACACACCCCACCGGGTACTCATCTTAGGCTGAGTCGACCTAGGGGAGGCCCAGGACCGGTACTTCAGATAATCGTCACCGGTGTTGTCGGCCGTCGGCGGGAAATCGATCCCTGCTCGCCGGGTTCGTAGCGCTAACCGCTCCACCACGGCTCTCCACGCGTGCGTGTGTGCGTGACAGTCCAGCCAGGACGCGGGTTTCGTGCTCTTCTCGCTGTGGAACGTCGTCTGGGCCTCCGTGTTCCTGGGCGGCTGGAAGCGGCGTGGCGCCGAACTGGCGTACCGCTGGGGCACGCTCGACGCCGCCGACGACCTGCTGGAGGAGCCGAGACCCCAGTACCAGGTGGGGGGGAAGGCGTACGGGGGGCGGGGGGGCGGTGCTGTTGGGCAGCGCACGGGAGGGCGGCACGGGAGGCAACATTGGGGAGAGTCGCGTGGGGAGGGCAGCACTGGCAGCATGGGGGGCAGCGCTGGGGACACTCGTACGGGAGACTTGACCATGGTCGCCCCTCCATCCACCTTCATCCATCGATGACATCTCTCGCCGCGCGTACAAGTCGCACACGCACGTGCCCCCCCCCCCCTCCCCGAGTCTCCCGCTCTCTGTCCCCCCACCCTCCCTCCTCTCTCTCTCTCCCTCCCCCCCTCCCCGTGCCGCCGCCGCGCAGGGCGAGAAGCGCGTGAGCAACGTGACGGGCCGCGAGCAGCTCTACTACCCGAGCTGGAAGCGCGAGCTCTTTCGCTGCTTGGTGAGTGTGCCCGTGTGCGTCGCCGGCCTCGCCCTCGTCTTCGTCACCATGCTCGCCTGCTTCCAGCTGCAGGTACCTGGGGGGAGGGAGGGAGGGAGTGAGCGGGGGGTGGGGGTGGGGGGCAGGGAGGGTGGGAGGAGGAGTGAAAATCGCACGAAGTTTAATTTTCAAGAGCAGAATAAACGATGCTTGAACCACGCGTCGTTTTGTTGATAAGTCAAGCCGACCGCCTGCAAAACGAGAGCCGATTTCATCGCTCCATCTCCGCTTGCGACGTCTCTCTCCGTCGTTGGGAGTCTCGACCAGCGGCCATTGCCCCGGCCACGTTGTTGTCCTGCCCAAGCCCATTTCACCAGAATCAGGATTTGTATTTATACTGGAGGAGGAACCCCATGAGCTATGAAGATCTCTTACACATGTTCATTAGGGGCAGGTCACAATGTTACAACAACATAACAATACACAAACACGTTAGGAGTGCAAAGTATAGGAAAGGTAAACAAATCACTCGTAAAAAATATACAAATAAAAATAAACTATTTTTTTATCGTACCAGGTAAAGCCGACTGTGGTATAAACTGATTTTACAGAAGCGACCTGGCCACAAATGAGAGCTCAACAAAGTGGCTCATCATGTGGAAATTTATAGCGGCAAAATAATCTCGATATTTGAAAGATGGTGCCACACGTCTGGCTTCTGTTTGTGCTATGAATCCGAGTTATTTTCGTTAATGATGCACCTCGCCCAACCCCCTTCTGGGATCACGCCGCTGCTGCTGTCACCATCCTAGAATCTCACCCAGACCCAGAAGAATGCTGCGAGCGAACGGAGTGGAACATCGTAGACGTCCAGAATAATCGCCTCATCTCAGACCGAAACGTCACACCTCCTCCTGCCTTTGATATTCCTCCGGGAAGACGCTAGTGGCGGTGGATCCTTCATCCCCATCAGAATATCACCACCAGGCCTATGATGCGCACCTCTCCCTCCTTAGTAGAACACCACAGCAGTGCGTTTTTACCATGCAATCCAAGCTATGGACCACGTGGTAAACCACTGTCGCCTACGCTCCTTAAACGGAGGGGGAACAGCAAAACTACACAAACCATCTCCTTGAAGCCCTCTCGTGGCTATAGCAGACCCCAACATTGGCATCGATCTCCTGAACATATTTGTCATACGCAGGAAAATAATTATTCTTGTTATCAGGGGGTATGGGTGAGGGCAATTTATCAGCGCCAAATGGAAACATAAGAGGGCAAATTACTTGATTGGGAAGTCTCTTAGCAACGTCGACCCCTACCGGCAGACCAAAGCCCGCTTTGCATCCTGTGTTGATGGTGCCACACAGGGCCAGCTTTCGGCTAGACTGCCACAAGGCATCTCCGGATGTAGTGCACGACAGAAGCGGTGTAAATACGATGTGGTGGTGGTGATGATGATGATGTTATATTCTTGGTTCTTTCGGTAAAGTCACGTAGATAATTGTATTGTTTTATATTTTTTATTATATTATTGTTTCCCTTCTACGTGACTTTACCGAAAGAACCAAGAATATGAATCCCTGCAGTCACGAAAGCTTTAAATCAAAAGATGATGATATTGTTGATTGCGGTCGTTAGCTGCTGTGTCTCTGTGTTTGTCTTTGTTTGTTGTGCTGGAATATTGGGTGATGGTAGAGTAGTGGTTAGTGGGCTGCGCTCCGAACCCGGCACCCCGAGTTCGGTTCTCGCTCACGACCAATAACACATGCGAATGTCTTATTCGGTTCTGGGCCTTTCCTAGGTCGACTCGGCCTCAAATGAGTACCTGGTGCGATGTGTAAACATCGCCATTGGGCAGGCAAAGGCAGCCAGGCGTGGTGTTGGCCACTCACCCCCTTGTGCGCCATGCCAGCCTTCATAGGTGCTCGCTAACAGCACTTGGCCCAATGTTCTGTGAAGGCTATATGGGTAATCTTTGTCTTTGCTGTGTGCTGGAGTGGACGTGCAAGTCGTTAGCGTGCTGCACTACGAACCCGACAACCCGAGTTCGAGTCTCGCTCGCGACCAAATAACAGAGGCGAATGTCTTAACCGGTTCCGGGCCCTGCCTAGGCCGACTTATTTGGTGCGGCTTTTTGTAAACATCAGCACTGAGGAGACAAAGGCGGCCGGGCGTGGTGTTGCCCACCCACCCCTAACTGCGCCGTGCCAGCCGCCATAGGTGCTCACTTAGCAGCGGTTGCCCCGACGGGTCCGTTTTAAAGGCCACGCTGGGGATCTCTTCGCCTGCATTGCAGGACTACCTGCTGAGTGTGGAGGGCGTGTCGGACTGTGTGCACTACCTGCCCAAGGTGCTCCTCGCCGTCATCGTCACCCTCCTCAACGACGTTTACAACAGCATCGCCTACTGGCTCAACGACAGGGGTGCGTTCCACAGCTCCGGCAACGTCAATCGGTGGCGAGATGTTAACTACCTCGCTTGGTATGCGGGGGGTCGTGGGTTCGGTCCTGACGCTGACGCCTGCTGCTGTATATTTGGAGTTTGCGGTGTCGCTCTCCCCGTGGTCGCGTGGACTTTTTTCCGGGTCCTCCGGTTTTTTCCTCCACATTTTAAATAAACATCACGTGTTTAGAGTATCTGGCTGCTTGAAATTTCCACGTGATAAGCCACTTCGCTGAGCGATCATTTGTGGCCAGGTCACTTCTGAAACAGCACTATATAGCTCAGTGGGCCTTACCTGGTAAAATAAAAACAATAGTTTAGATTAAACAACAATCCATGGTCTATTCACTGCTTGATGAATGCCTCCCCATGCTGTCATCTTCGTTCAAACGTCGTGAGTTACAACCTCAAATCCATTAGCAGCCTCTTTCCAGTTGCACAGGGCCGGTGCTTGATCAAGAGTTCGAGTGGATGGCCCATGGCATAAGGTGTAACTCTTCCGCCCGTGCCTGTGATTAATCCGCCGGGCTGGGCTATCTATTCTCCTGCGATGTTCCGGCAGAGGAACGACTAATGAGTTCATGGAGCCATTAACTCTGCTCAAATAATTATTGGACGCGCGCCAACGCACGTCCACGCACGCACGCGCGTTCCACATTCTCTGAATGTGCTGCGATGTGTCGCCCACACGCACGCGTTGTTCCGAACGCCAAGGCGTTTTTATTTAAGCCGTCGTCTTTTTGTTTATGCCGGTCTTACTCTCGGCACCATGCCCCGCGACAAGACGTCGAGTTCCTGCGCACGAGCTTGCTTGTTCCTTGTTTGCAGCGAGAGACATCCTCAATATTTTGGCTGCCGCTCTTCCGTTAGTCCCGACCATCGGATCATCGTCATTCCTCGTCGCCGTGACTTGACCTGCCCAGAGCCCACTTAAACTTTTTTTTTAGCAGTCCAATTGAGGTTCCCCTGACGCATTCCTACGCCAATCCACCTGCTCCGCCTCCTGCCTCTCGGTGTTATTCCACCGGTGTGTTTCTCTCTGCGCTTCTTTCGCGCACCTCGATTAAACACCGTGATGTGTCCCGCTGAGGTCCGCTTGCACTTTCTCGACGGTCCACGTGACGTCCCTGTCTTGCGTTTGTTCTCCGGCCCGTGCCCGCCACTTTCTGTGCAATTGCAGGGCATCCGCCTCTCCGCGCTTCTTTCGCCCACCGTTCAGTTTTCGCTCCGCTTTTTTTTCTTCCTTCCGTCGCAGTCTTCACCTTTTTGACCAATGTCTCGTAGTTGCCCACGTACTGCTCTTCGTTAAGTCGGGTTGCTTTGCAAGGTCTTCTTTTAAATGAACAAATTGCTCCAATCCGCTCGCTCGCTCCGTCACGTTTTCATTTTTCTCGCGCAGAAAACTACCGGCTGCAGACGACGTACGAAGCCCATCTCATCATCAAGCTGGTCATGGTGAGAATAAAAAGGAATTATCGGGAATATTTTACCGTGAAATGGATCTTAACTCGCGACCCTTTAACCCGTGGCATTGAACGGGGAGTAGAGTCAAGGAAAAATCGGGAGCAAAAAAAAGTGTGAGGTGAGGAGAGGTGAGGAGAGGTGAAGATGGGCAGGCAGAGGTGAGGGGAGATGAGGAGAGGTGAGGATGGGCAGGCAGAGGCGACACGAGGGCCTCAACGCTGTTGTACGCAGCGGCGTCCGGGAGAGGGGGGAGGGGCTCGGAGTGGTGGGGTGGTCACAGCAGAAGTCACGTGATTTACAGGAACGCTTGAGCTGATTTAGGTATCAGCGATGAATGTTTACGGATTAATGTCCATTCACAAGCTGTTGTTTTCCAGTTTCAGTTCATAAATTCCTACCTGAGCCTGTTCTACATCGCCTTCTACCTCAAGGACATGAAGAGGCTGAAAGAGGTGCGTCTCCACCTTTCTTCGCAGCACTCTCTCTAAATTCATGACACTTACGGGGCCTAGTACAAAATACATCAGCTTTTGGTGCTTAAACATTTGTAAACAAAAAATACATTTGATTGTTAATCACAACCCAATTTGTGCTCGTCAGGCCCATGCTAATGAATATTAATGTGTTTTAATGAATGCTTCCCAACAAATACGCATATCGTTCACAACTTTGACGGTGCCGTTCGTTGCTGACCGTTTGACGTTTTGGAACCTGTGCTCGGCAATCTGTGATTTTATTTTCACCATGCCGCATTCCCCGCCGTCGCCCGGGCAGATGCTGGCGGCGCTGCTGATCACTCGCCAGCTGATGCAGAACCTGCGCGAGGCGCTGCAGCCGTACGTCATGGAGAAGCTGCGCCGCATGGACCTGGCGCGGAGACCCCGGGACGCGACGCACGCGCCGGAGCCGTGCGAGGGCATCTCCCTGCACGAATACTCGGACGCCTCCTCCTCATCGTCACCCCCACCCTCGTCCTCCTCGTCTACTCCCGCCGACTCCTCCTCATACTCGTCATCGGCCGCGGCGCCCGGTGTTGGTGAAACCGGCAGCGATGATGACCGCAACCGTGGTGGTGGTGGTGGCGGCGGTGGCGGTGGCGGCTTCGGGCAACTGACCGTGGGCTCCGTGTACGGCCACGAGGACGAGTGGGGATTCTCCGAGCTCGGCGGCGACGGAGACGACGGCGGCGGCGGCGCCGAAGAAGCGACGGCGGAGGAGGACGAGGCGGAGGGCGAGGTGGGAGGAGACGCGGCGCAGGAGTCGGACGTGCCGGTCGGCGGTGGCGTGGAGGTGCCGGGGGCCAGGGAGACGCGGGGAGAACGGGGGCTGTCGGAGAGTGGGGGGGCGGCAGACTCGGTGAGGTCGCGGGCAGCCAAGGCGGGGGCAGCTGATGGCACCGCTGCTGCTGCTGCTGCTCAGACCCGGGGGCAGCAGGAGGCTGGGGGACGAGGTGGGGAGGAGCAGACGAACGAGGGGGAAGAGGATCATCCTCCCATCGCCCAGGCCGAAATGGAGAGCTGCATGGACCAATACAAGGCGAGCGGGCGTGGCAGTGCGATGCTGCGATGCTTCATAATGGCACCGTGACGGTGTTCACGGAATGCACGGCCCAAATACAAACGGCTCGTCTTGTAGATATCGGTAACTGTCCGTCATCATTGTCCGGGTTGCGGGTTTACCGTGCTTGTGAAGAGAGGGAAATGAATAGCAGAGGGGGGAAGGGGCATTGCTGCACGCTCGTCCGCATGTGTTACGTGCTCGCTGCTTCTCTTGCGTGCACTCTGTGACAGATTTCTGTGCAAAAACATTTATACACTCCCAGAAGGCCATGCAGCCGAAGGGCGTGTGTATAAATAAAATGCCTTTATTTTGAGTGTGGCGGGGGACAGCTATGTGAAGAAGGAGACGGTGGTATTGTCCCCTAATATTTATCGAGAGACTGGAATTGTCCACAGCGACGCCGCTGATTATTCCGCGTTGGTCACGGCGCGGCAGTAAAAGCCGCCGCGTGCTGTTTGGCGACTCTCCCCTTCCCCCCGGCGCGTGTCCCCCTAGGACACGATCGAGGACTACCTGGAGATGTACGTGCAGTTCGGCTACGTGGTTCTCTTCTCCTCGGCGTTCCCGCTCGCCGCGCTCTGCGCCCTCGCCAACAACCTCATGGAGATCCACACGGACGCCTTCAAGCTGTGCACGGGCCTGCAGAGGCCCTTCGGGCAGCGCGTGCGCAACATCGGCCTGTGGCAGGTCCAGCCCCCACGCGCCCCCACAGGAGCCAGCCGGCGACACGTTACTTGAGCGGCGGGTGTGGAAGTTAGGGTGATGGGGGGGCGGGCACCCTTGGGTTGTCAGCTTTTTTGGTTTTGGTTTAGGCATGGGAGAACTGAAAAAGAGGCCAGGGGGTAGTCCACATTGGCATGAACTCTACGTATGTATTCTTTGGTTCGTTGGGTAAATTCGCGTAGAAAGAAATTAAATTAAATCGAAACGTCGTGGTCGATTATTATTTAATTTACTTTATTTCTACGTGACTTTACCGAAAGAGCCAAAGAGTAATTGCTGCAGTCACGAAAGCTTTGAATCTAGTTTCTACGTATTTATGTTCAATTTCTTTGGCGCCGTACGTAGCCAACCGTGGCTGATCGCAGGTGCGGGGGAAAGGACAGCAAATTAAACACACAGAGCAGTTGCAAAGACGCGGGTTTGTCATTCTATATGATGACTTCAAACTGCATACAGTGAGGGAAAAAAGTATTTGATCCCCTGCTGATTTTGTACGTTTGCCCACTGACAAAGAAATGATCAGTCTATAATTTTAATGGTAGATTTATTTGAACAGTGAGAGACAGAATAACAACAACAACATCCTGAAAAACGCATGTCAAAATTGTTAAATACTGATTCGCGTTTTAACGAGGGAAATAAGTATTTGATCCCTCTGCAAAACATGACTTAGTACTTGGTGGCAAAACCCCTGTTGGCAATCACAGAGGTCAGACGTTTCTTGTAGTTGGCCACCAGGTTTGCACACATCTCAGGAGGGATTTTGTCCCACTCCTCTTTGCAGATTTTCTCCAAGTCATTAAGGTTTCGAGGCTGACGTTTGGCAGCTCGAACCTTCAGCTCCCTCCACAGATTTTCTATGGGATTAAGGTCTGGAGACTTGCTAGGCCACTCCAGAGCCTTAATGTGCTTCTTGAGCCACTCCTTTGTTGCCTTGGCCGTGTGTTTTGGGTCATTGTCATGCTGGAATACCCATCCACGACCCATTTTCAATGCCCTGGCTGAGGGAAGGAGATTCGCACCCAAGATTTTACGGTACATAGACCCGTCCATCGTCCCTTTGATGCGGTGAAGTTGTCCTGTCCCCTTACCAGAAAAACACCCCCAAAGCATGTTTCCACCTCCATGTTTGACGGTGGGAATGGTGTTCTTGGGGTCATAGGCAGCATTCCTCCTCCTCCAAACACGACGAGTTGAGTTGATTCCAAAGAGCTCCATTTTGGTCTCATCTGACCACAACACTTTCACCCAGTGTCCTCTGAATCATTCAGATGTTCATTGGCAAACTTCAGACGGGCATGTATATGTGCTTTCTTGAGCAGGGGGACCTTGCGGACGCTGCAGGATTTCAATCCTTCACGGCGTAGTGTATACCAATTGTTTTCTTGGTGACTATGGTCCCAGCTGCCTTGAGATCATTGACAAGATCCTCCCGTGTAGTTCTGGGCTGATTCCTCACCGTTCTCATGATCATTGCAACTCCACGAGGTGAGATCTTGCATGGAGCCCCAGGCGGAGGGAGATTGACAGTTCTTTTGTGTTTCTTCTATTTGCGAATGATCGCACCAACTGTTGTCACCTTCTCACCAAGCTGCTTGGCAATGGTCTTGTAGCCCATTCCAGCCTTGTGTAGGTCTACAATCTTGTCCCTGACATCCTTGGAGAGCTCTTTGGTCTTGGCCATGGTGCAAAGTTTGGAATCTGATTGATTGATTGCTTCTGTGGACAGGTGTCATTTATTAAGGTAACAAGCTGAGATTAGGAGCACTCTCTTTAAGAGTGTGCTCCTAATCTCAGCTCGTTACCTGTATAAAAGATACCTGGGAGCCAGAAATCTTTCTGATTGAGAGGTGGTTAAATACTTATTTCCCTCATTAAAATGCAAATCAATTTATAACATTTTTGACATGCTTTTTCTGGATTTGTTGTTGTTATTCTGTCTCACTGTTCAAATAAACCTACCATTAAAATTATAGACTGATAATTTCTTCATCAGTGGGCGAACGTACAAATTCAGCAGGGGATCAAACACTTTTCCCCCTCACTGTAGCTCCCGGTGTGCTTCCTGTCATCGGAACGAAAGAGCGTTCCAGACGGCCAGCGAAACTGATACGTCACGGCGGTCGCCCGCAACGTCGCTGAGCTGCCGCTTTCTCGCCGCGCAGGACGCCATGGAGTTGATGGTGTCGGTGGCCATCATGGTGAACTGCGCCCTCATCGGCCAGAGTGGACAGCTCAAGAGTCTCTTCCCGTCGTTCAGCTCCGAGGGGATCGTCCTCGCCATCGTCCTGCTCGAGGTTTTGCAGCAGCTCCCCCGGTGTCTGTGTCTTGCTCTCGGTCTCAGTCTCTCTCTTTCTCTCGGTCTCTCTCTCTCGAGCCCACGTGGAGTTTGTCCTCACAGTACAGCCGAATGCCATTGGCCCGGCAAACCACACATTAGCAAAGACAAAGATGCCCTCGCACAGCCTTGGCAGACTTGTTTGAGGCGACTGCTGTTAGCGAGCAGCACCTATGAAGACTGGCACGGCACACGAGGAGGTGGGTGGCCAGCGCCACGCCCGGCCGCCTTTGTCTCCCCTGTGGCAGCGTTTACACAGACACACACCTCCGTCACTGCAAGAGGCCCTGGCAGTGACACAGGCGATTGAGTGCGCTGTTATTAGAAGCGCATTGTTGTTGGCCACCCACCCCCTTCGTGCGTCGTGCCGGCCCTCGTAGGTGCTTGATATCGGCACTTGACCAAAGTCAGTTAGAGGCTATATGGGAGATCTTTGTCATTGTCTCGTTGTGCTTCTGTGTGATAGGGGCTCGCTAACGGTACTTGCCCCCAACGAGCTTTACAGGGGCTTTATGTCCCCTCGTAGCGCGTGCACACAGAATCATAATATTTATTTATACTGGAGGAATCCAATGAGCTATAAAGCTCTTTTTCATAGATGTCCAGTATGGGCACGGGGTCATAACGTTGCAACAACAAACAATACAAAAAGCGATAGGAGTTCAAAGCATAGGATTGGTTATCAAATCGCTTTAAAAATATATATATACAAATAAAGCTAAACAATGTTTTTTTGTTACCAGGCAAAGCCCACTGAGCTATTAGTGTGTGCGTGCCTGCGCGTGCGTAGCACTGCGGGCTTTTGCTGAAGTACACCATCCTCAAGTTGATTCCGGACGTGCCCTCCTGGGTCGCTGAGGAGATGGCCAAGCTGGAGTTCCAGAGGAGAGAAACTTTCAAGGTACCACCACCACGACCACCACCAACAACAACGACAACCGCCATTCGCCACTAAGTGGCGGTGACGTCACCACGGCGCTTGTGCCAGGCAATGTGCACGTTAAGCCCACGTGAAGTGTTGAACTCCTGTCGGCAGGAGGTCACGGGACAGACCCAGGTGCCATTGGTCGACTGACTGAGATGACTGGCAGACGCCACCTGTGCCCCCTACTGTGCCAACCTGTTGTGCTTTAGCCGCCCGGCGTTTTTGTGAGCGTCGCTCCTCTGCCCTCCGTTGTTGCTGGAGGGCGACTGCCTCCAACTGCCCAGCAGCAGCGTCCTTCACGAGCCTCCTCCACAGAGGCCGATCTTGACACCGCTGGTACCAGTCATCAGCAAGTCCGCTCGGCTCCACATCCTCTTGTACCACATCACTCCACCACGACCACTACCACCACCGCCACCACCACACTCCGCCTTGTCACATGCCTGCATGAGGCCTGCTCAGGAAACAGGGAGAGCTCCACTCCCAGATATGTCTTTAAGACACTTTTACATGGTTCAAATAATTGCTTTTGCTCATTCGTATGTGTGTTTGGGTTTTGGCCACTTGTAGTTTTATGCTGCAATTCCTGTCATTAACCCCTCCACCGTCATAAAACAAGATTGTCATCTCTACTCGGATATTTATTTTTTCTAATACATTGCCACGTATATTTGCGTTGGTGGCAAGATGTTAACTACCTCGCCTGGTATACAGGGGGTCGTGGGTTCGATCCCGGCCCTGACACCTGTATATTTGGAGTTTACGTGTTCTCCCTGTGGACGCGTGGATTTTTCTCCAGGCCCTCTGGTTTTTCCTTCCATATTTAGCATCAACGTGCGTTTAGAGTATTTGACTGCTATAAATTTCCACACGATAAGCCACTTCCTTGAGTTATCATTTGTGATAGCCAGGTCGCTTCTGGAAAAGAGCTACATAGTTTAGTATTGATCATATTCTGACCAATAAAGTTATATCATCGGTGGCTTAAGACTTTTAACGACTGAATTCAACGTCAACGTACGACTACGTTTTGCTCAGAATATTTTTTGGCTTTGCTTTGAGCTTCATCCGGCAGTGAACTCGGAAGTCGAGTGAGTTGCATCGACTGCCTCGGTGCTTTCGTTGTGCTTGGCTATGAAAAGTTTTAAGTTAAGTGCCTTTTCTCTGCAGCCGATTTGGTGACATGACCTCGTGTTGAAATACAAAACCTGGCAAAGGGACGTCATCGCTCACCCAATAGCACAGCATAGCAATCGATTAACGATGGCGCGTTCACCAGCGGTGTGATGGCGCGTTCACCAGCGGGGTATGATGATTCGGTCGTCAGCGGTACGATTGCGCGTTCACCAGCGATACTATCATGCGTTCGCCAGCGGTACGATTTCACGTTCGCCAGCTGCATGATCGTTCGTTCTTCAGCGGTACGAGCGAGCTGCGCAGCTGCGGCGGCAGCAGAAGGAGGAGGAGGAGAGGCGCGAGCAGCTGCGAGAGGAGAGGGCCGCTCACCTCCGCGCCAAGGACGCCGCCCGCGAAAGCAGCAAGGCGGACGAGCGAGCCGCACACGGCTCGGCGCAGGGCGCGGGCAGCACGCCAGGATCGTCCGGGTCCACGCACGGCGGCGACAGGCAGCAGCAGCAGCAGCACACGAGCGGCAGCAGCGACAAGCCCCGACGGCCATGCTCGCTGCCCAAGAGCATGAAACTCAAGCAGATTATCCCCATGCAGGGCCGCATGCTCTCTCCCTCGTCCACGACGACAACGACAACATCGTCCGCGACGGCGGCGGTGGCGCCGTCTGCTTCAAAGGCGGCGCAAGCCGTGGCGGGCGCAGGCGAGGAGAGGACGGTGTCCGGTGCCACCAAGACGCCCGCCGCCGCGCAGTCGCCCAACGGCGAGAGCAAGCTGCCGGGCTTCCTGAGCCGGCGCTTCCTGCGCTCGCCCTCGGCGGAGAGCCGCGCGGCCACGGCGGCGGGCGCCGCCGCCGTGGCCGCGGGCGCCGCCGCCGGGTCGGGCCCCGAGCGAGCGCAGTCGCCCACGAAGCTCGGGAAGCTGTTCGGCTTCGTCCGCGCTGACGGCGGCGGCGGCGGCGGCAACGGGAACGGCGCCGGCGCTGCCGAGAAAGAGGAGGGTTCAGGGGATCAGGTTTTGACGTCTCCAACCGTGTCGGCGTCGTCGTCGTTGTGCTCGGCAGCTCCGGTCGTCGCACGGCCCGAGGGGGCTGGCGGCTCGTCCCAGATTTCGGTGCGGGACGGCAAACACGAGGAGGCGTACTCGGAGAAGGGAGACTGAGACGAGTGTCGCCGGGCCGTCGCCGAAATCCGGCAGCGCGAACCGCGTCCTCTCTGAATTCGGTTCCTGAAGAGGGTCGCAGCACATGAAGCGAAGCGTCGGACAGCGCGTGCGGAACGGCCCCGATGCAATACATCGGAGCGATATACGGCCCGACCGTGGAAAACTGCCATTGTGGTCTTCGCAGCGTGACCGTCTCTCTCTCTGTGTGCTCTAGCACTGGCGGCTCGACGACTCTGTGGTTGAGAGCGAGTTTTATTTATTACGTTCTTTGCGGTCGTGTCATTTTAGGTTTATATCCATGTGCTTTGCAATGGTGTGGTTGACTGAATGAGAAGAGCATATGCAAGTGTGGGTGTTGACCCTCACAGGGAGTGTGGGGGAGGAAAGAGGGGGCGCTGTTATTGAAATAGGAATTATCTCAGAGAAGCGGGTGGAGAGAAGATTGTGCGTGCTATTTTGCCAACTGGAGATTTTGATGACGCGAGACTCCGCGAGGTTGCTGCTGCTGCTGCGAAACAGAGACACTAAATTGACGCCGTTTCGATTCGTCATCGAAACGATCGCGATCCACGGCAGCCGCAGCGTTCCATATTCTCGGCGACCATTAACGTGTTCGCGGCTCCCAGCATGCACCGTGGCGTTGTGACAAAGTGAGGGGCCAGGAGTGGAGGGGAGGGAACTTCAGCGTGGCTGTGGATGCCAGCAGATGGCGCTTTAGCGACGTGACTGTTCCTTAACATTATTTTGTTTCGTCTCGAACGACTCATGCCGGGCAGCCCCTAGGGTGTGTCCCAGAGACGAGAGACTTTTATTGTTTATTTGCTTTTTTTGTTAAGAAAGAAAAAAATAGAATTACTCACTCCGAGCCTTGGGAACGTTAACAAACGACGTAATGTCTGCATTGCAAGACGCTCCACAAAGTATGACACACACACACCTACCGCGCACGTAAGACGCATGCCACAACTTTGGCTTGAATATAAAGGGTGGGCGAAATATTTGTCTGGTGATGTGGAGAATACGGTTTGGGTTTTTGCCATCATTTAGTTATTTTTTTCCCTTTAATTCCAACCTGGACAGAGGGACTTGCCAAACCATGCTGCTGGGTTACCAGAAATAATTCTGGTGGTGCAATAGTCCAGGGGGTGGTGGAGTTGGGGCCAAAAGAGGTGGAGCAGCACGGTTGAAGCAAAAAATCAGGTCAAGTGACCTTGTGGAAAGGGGACAAACGCTGGCCGTGGCTATGTACATATGTATGTTGAACTTCTTTCCCACCGTACGTAGGCAACGTTGCGGCTCTATGCGGGCGCAGTACGTTCGCCGCTGGGATAAGAGGGCCTCCCGACACCTTGCGAATCCCTGAGCGATGTTGATCATGCTTCGTCACCACATTGGTCAGTGCGGGTTGTACGTGCCGTACGTACGTTGAACTTTTTTCGCATCGTACGTAACCAACCGTGCTTATCGGAGGGTTGGTGAAGTTCAGAGCGGGGGAGTACAACTGCCCACATCACCTACTACCCCTGTTGGTTGTGCACGGTGACGGTCACCCATCCAAGCGCTATGCAGGCTAAACTCATGCTTAGCTCCTGGGATCTAACGAGATTGGGCCCATTCCAGGTGATTTGGTCATTTGAAATGGAGTCCGTTTTATGATTTTCCGGCAATTTGTAGAGCCGGCTCCAGAGGTGGTTGTTGTCAGAGACTCTCATCCAGCCAAGTGTAGAGCCTGGGTTCGATTCCAGGCAGCCACCTGCGAATAAACCGAGTCCTCGCACGTAGTGAATTGACGATCTCAATGGCTGCAGAAAAAAAAGGATCCCATCCATTACGAGTCGGGTTTTCACTTCATTTAGTCTTGACCAACCCTACAAAACAAATCTAGTTTGTTTGTTGACACGTGGTGAGACCGGCTTCACCAGAGCCGTCCTGAGCCGTGCCAGCAGGTCGCTGACCGCTCACACGCGATGAACACTTTGAGACGCGCCTAGATGGTGCGGCGGATGCAGTCTTCACGCACTCTTCGTGACGAGCAATCACGCACGACGAATGGGTCGAGAGGCGTACGTAGGTAACGTGACGATGCAGCGTCCCTGCAGTGACGTCACACGCAATGATTGCATCATTGGCACTGCCCCCCCACATGGCCCCGCTTGGCCCCGAGCTAAATTCAGATGCCTTTGCGTTGCCAGTTTCCTGGTTTGGTTCCGGATGGGCAAAGCAAATCTCCTGGACAAATGCGAAAAAAGAGCTTCATAGCTCGTCGGATTCCTCCAGTGTAAATAAATATTCTGATTCTGAATAGCCAGTAGGAAAAGAGAAACGAGTTTTCCCGTCTACGGTAAGGGGCTTTTTTAAGTATATAGCGACGATGGTAGAGAAATTCCAGCTTGTCTAACCAAAACAGCTTTGACCGACGGTGAACTTCTTGTCACCGCAAGGGAGCGCAGGGTCCCCCCTCGGGCATTAGCTCCACACCGATGATGATGTTGTTGTCCACACTGATGCTGTTGCGCGTAGTGTTGCGTTCCAGGCCGAACCTGGCCGTTGCCCGATGCGTATTTCACGTGGCTAAGCACAGCGCGCCGTCCTCAACGTTACGTGGCGCGGCCTCCAAAATGTCCGGGCGAGCTCAGGTGGTGGCGAGTGTCCCTGCGTCGAGTGAAGATCGAATGTCGCCCCTTTTGCTAAAGCTCGTAATGTCCAAGTAGTTATTTATTTTTGAAATTACAACAAAAATATTTTTTTGGGGGGGGGGGGGGTGGGGAGGGAAAGCAGTGTAAAACAAAAATGTTATGGAAACATTGAAACACACCGCGGGTGCTGCCGGTAAAACCACGAGTCGCAAATTCTGCATCGCTCGAAGGGGCAGCCCAGTGCTGGAGGAGTCCCAGCGCTGGTTCGAGACTCGGCCGCACAAACGGAGTCGTTGGCGTTGCTTCGAATGTTTGGGGGGAGGGGGGGTAAATGGTTGCTCGATGTTCGAGAGCTCTATGGGCTCCGTCCGTATCTATGGGACCCTTTTTGTCAGCGTCAAGATATATTGAATGATTGAAAAAAAGGCTTTACCCTGGTGTAGGCCAATCAGCTTCAAGGACAGAGACTATATATTATCAAAGCATATTCGTTTAAAACATGTTTTACCACAAAGGGGTCGTCCATAAATGACGTCACGCACCTAGGGGGTGGGGTCAGACATTTGTGACGATGTGTGATGGGGGGGGGGGTGAGAAATGTGACGTCACGTGAAAATGCGCAACTTTAAATAAATGTAGAATTGTTATAACAACACTCCTACAACATCAGAGTGCAGCGCCACATTTAATACGCACTACAATGACAATAGTTTAAAGCCATTTGAAGCATGTTTTATTTTCAAAATAGAAATATGGTTTTGGGGGGGGGGGAAGATCTTTGTGACGTCATATTTGAGGGGGGGGTATGACTTTTTGTGACGCCGTGTGACAAGGGGAGGGGGGGTCAAAAGTCGTCCAAAATCGCGTGACGTCATTTATAGACGGCCCCAAAGTCCGAGTGGCGAATGCAGACTTGATGATGCCTTGTATGTTAGGCGTCTTATTTTGGCGTTCGAACATCTTGACACCGCCTGTATTCATGGCCTTTCATTTTAATCGTTCAAATCGCGTTACAGTTGTATAGAACAATGTTCGCGCTTTGACTTTGGGAAGTGCCAATTTAATTTTTCTGCCTTCCCCCCCTCTTTCAATCTTCAGTGACCCACCCCCTCACCCCCACCCCCTCACCCCCCTCCCCTCCCTGCGTGATCTCCCGGGACGCGTCGTGGTACCGAGCAAGCGACGTTGACATCGCTCGGCCCGCTCACGCGCACGGCGCGGCGGTAGCGGCCACCGTTGCCGGCAGCGGCGCCGGCCCCCTCGGCACCACCGTCGATCTCCCTCTGCGGGGCCCTCCGGGGCGAGCGCGCAAGGAGAGCCCTCGATTGGCATCGCGACGTTCGTCACCACGTTCGTCACGACGTACGCCAACGTCTCATTTTTTGTTAACAAAGGGGACTAACTGTAAATGTGTCAACATTTTACGTGCTAATTTAAGCAAATTATATTTCAGATTTTTTTTTTACAATTTACGTTTTGCTAAAACTGTAGCTTTGTGTTGAAATTATTATTATTTCCAGCTGTATCCAGAGCTTAATGTCTCCATAAAACAAGCGACCAAACATCTCCGCAGCTTGCGATGCTTTAATCGGGTCGTGCCGCGTATTGGTCGGCGTGACGTCCGACGTTTCGCGACATGCTGGGAGCTTCCGCAAAACGAAAAACCCAAAAAATGTTCCCACCTTCAAAGTTACTCGCAAAGCAGGATGCTGGAGCGTAGCGTCGGGACACCGTGCCAAACGGCGGAGTACGGCGCGACCCGAAAGCCCATCGGAGAGCTGCTGGGCAGCACTACCGCGAAACAAACCCACCCAGCACTGAATTACAAACCCACCCAGCACTGAATTACAAACCCACCCAGCACTAAATTACAAACCCACCCAGCACTGAATTACAAACCCACCCAGCACTGAATTACAAACCCACCCAGCACTGAATTACAAACCCACCCAACACCGAATTACAAACCCACCCAGCACTAAATTACAAACCCACCCAGCACTGAATTACAAACCCACCCAACACTAAATTACAAACCCACCCAGCACTAAATTACAAACCCACCCAACACTGAATTACAAACCAACCCAACACTGAATTACAAACCCACCCAACACTGAATTACAAACCCACCCAACACTGAATTACAAACCCACCCAGCACTGAATTACAAACCCACCCAACACTAAATTACAAACCCACCCAGCACTAAATTACAAACCCACCCATCACTGAATTACAAACCCACCCAACACTGAATTACAAACCCACCCAACACCGAATTACAAACCCACCCAGCACTAAATTACAAACCCACCCATCACTGAATTACAAACCCACCCAACACTAAATTACAAACCCACCCAGCACTGAATTACAAACCCACCCATCACTGAATTACAAACCCACCCAGCACTGAATTACAAACCCACCCAACACCGAATTACAAACCCACCCAGCACTGAATTACAAACCCACCCAGCACTAAATTACAAACCCACCCAGCACTGAATTACAAACCCACCCAACACCGAATTACAAACCCACCCAGCACTGAATTACAAACCCACCCAGCACTGAATTACAAACCCACCCAGCACTAAATTACAAACCCACCCAGCACTGAATTACAAACCCACCCAGCACTGAATTACAAACCCACCCAGCACTAAATTACAAACCCACCCAGCACTGAATTACAAACCCACCCAGCACTGAATTACAAACCCACCCAGCACTGAATTACAAACCCACCCAGCACTGAATTACAAACCCACCCAACACTGAATTACAAACCCACCCAGCACTGAATTACAAACCCACCCAGCACTAAATTACAAACCCACCCAGCACTGAATTACAAACCCACCCAGCACTGAATTACAAACCCACCCAGCACTAAATTACAAACCCACCCAACACTGAATTGCAAACCCACCCAACACTGAATTACAAACCAACCCAACACTGAATTACAAACCCACCCAACACTGAATTACAAACCCACCCAGCACTGAATTACAAACCCACCCAGCACTAAATTACAAACCCACCCAGCACTGAATTACAAACCCACCCAGCACTGAATTACAAACCCACCCAACACCGAATTACAAACCCACCCAGCACTAAATTACAAACCCACCCAGCACTGAATTACAGACCCACCCAGCACTAAATTACAAACCCACCCAACACTGAATTACAAACCCACCCAACACTGAATTACAAACCAACCCAACACTGAATTACAAACCCACCCAGCACTCAATTACAAACCCACCCAGCACTAAATTACAAACCCACCCAGCACTAAATTACAAACCCACCCAACACTGAATTACAAACCCACCCAGCACTAAATTACAAACCCACCCAACACTGAATTACAAACCCACCCAACACTGAATTACAAACACACCCAACACTGAATTACAAACCCACCCAACACTGAATTACAAACCCACCCAACACTGAATTACAAACCCACCCAGCACTGAATTACAAACACACCCAGCACTGAATTACAAACCCACCCAGCACTGAATTACAAACCCACCCAGCACTGAATTACAACCCAACACTGAAT